GACCATCACTTATAACGCCCCCATGGCTGAAAGGGCGAGCATGTTTGATTGGACGGGGATTTGAACCCGCGACCCACAGATTGTGAGTTGAGCTCCCTAACCATCTGGCCATGCCAGGCCCTAATGTTACCAGAATCCTTTACCATTCCTTATATGTCATCATATATCCAGACTGTTCCTTCCTCCCTGAGATCTCTGTTGCCCTGGAAGGCCATTTGGCTGTCACAACCATTTTATTTTATCTTCCATCTCGATCCAGATCAGCTTCCTAGTTAGGTTCGCTCCCTGCAATGTATGTGGCATATACCACCTTCTTTCAGGTTTCATGTTCCCAGCCATATATTCCCTGGAACCCTTCTGTTTCCCATGATCTATCCCTGTGACACTAACTGGTTGGGTTTGTCAACTCCTTGGATTAGTGTATTCAGACTTATCCATGGAAGGTCACCATCTCTTCAACGTTTCTTCTCATCAAATTTGTCATATCACTATGTCTTTGACTGCTCATCTTTGAATCAGCATTGTTTAGATATATGTTTTTTCGTACGTGACTACCATTTTCGATTGTACTTTGTTGACATTTCAATATCTTTTTTAACAGTTTTTTTTTACTGTGTTTGCATTCAATTGTTTAATTATTTTTGCATTTGTTTATTGTTACCAAATTATATGGTAACTTAAAATGACTTTGTGATTTAATGTTATTGACAATGGAAAATCCCTTTATGGTAGACAATGCTTCTGGTACAATGACTCAGGCATCGGGTTTGACTTTATTACTGAGGAGGTACAGGCCTTAATTCACAGGGAGCTAGATTCCTACGTTCAGCAGGTAATTTCTTCTCATTTTCAACTTGACAATGTTTCTGAAGATGAATACAATCAAGGAGACAAAAATTGGATTCACTTTTTCTGGCACCTTCTTAATTTGGTCTGTCACACTCTATATCTTTTTTTTTTTACACCTAGTTAATCAGGTATGTGGTATATTACATGTTTCCTTTTTCCTCCTAGCTTGTGGACATTGTCGATCAGTTTTTATGCTGTTGATGTTACCAGAATCCTCTACCATTCCTTGTATGTCATTATATATCCAGACTGGTCCTTCCTTCCAAAGACCTCTATTTCCCAGGAAGGCCATTTGGCTGTCGCACCCATTTCTTCACTTTCCATCTCCCACCTATATTCCCATTCTTATCCAGATCAGCTTCCTTGTCAGGTTCACTTCTTATAGTGTTATATAGCATGTACTGTCTTCTTTTGGGGTTTATGTATCCAACCTTTTATTCCCAGGATCTATCCCCTGTCACACTGACTGGTTCGGTTCGTGAACTGCTTAGACTGGCGTATTCAGACTTATCATCTGTTTGCCTTTAACTTGGGTATGTCTTTTTACAACATTTCGTTTATGTTTTCTTGTCAGGAACCCTCTTTTACTGTTACTCATAGGATCCCACTCTGTGGCAAGTGGCATGCCTAGTGGTATATACTTATGTGTCTATAGGTATCCGTAAGTTTAACTCAATGGTGGACCGTCACTCATGGACTATCAGGAGTAAAGTAAAAGAGGATTTCTGCCCATCTCTGCTGACCCTTTGACTGTATAAATTGGAGACAGTCTGCTTTTCAAAATAGGGAATTGTGGACACCCATTACACTTTCTCCAGTGTGATGTTTCTTCAGAATCCCCATCGCATTTACTCCACCCTTCTTTCTCCAAGTGGAGTATGGGACTCCATATCACTTACCAGTTTACCTTACAATACACCCACATATTTATCTACTCATTGAGAAGAGGGCAAAGCTTGATTCCCTCTTTCTCTTTCCCCTGGATGCTTATTCCCAGGTGGACTGATTGTTAGTTGGAGCAGGACCAGCTTACATGGGATCCTCCTGGTAATTCTGGGTTCAGGATGATACTACCCTGTTCCCATGGTTGAGTAAAGTAGAGGCCCTCCTTCTCATTAATTCTGGTTGCAGGAGATTTCCTTCCCTGCTCCTACAGTTGAGTTTGGGGGACTTTGTCTGTCTCATAACACCAGCAACAGAACATACGTACACTGTTCCTATGGTTGTGCAAATATTCTTCATCCTCCTCATAATTTTGGGTGCAAGAAATGTCATTCCTGCATTTATGGTTGAGTGAGTTATGATTTCTGCTCTTAATACCAGTTATAGATATTGCCCTGTTTTAACGGTTGAGTTGAGGCAACAACACGATTCCGTAATGCTGTGTTTGGTTTGTTGTACTTCTTGCTCCTATGGTGGTTTTGGGAGTTTGTCCGAATGCTAACTAACTTATTCTTCGTAATTCCAGTTGCTTGACATATGGCACTCTGTTTACTTATGGTTGGAGTTGGTCTGTATATATATATATATCACATAGTCCACATGCTCTAGCCACAATGTTTATTTTACTCTAATTTCATTTTTATCTGGGTGATCCTCAACCTCCTATTGCTGAGGACGGATTGTGGAACCTCATCTGTCTGGTTGAGGTTGGATAGATACATAGCCAAGGCTAGTTGTTTTCCCCATCATTATATTTCAGAGAACTCTCCCTTGACTTGTCGTTTTACCTCATGTGGGTATCGAGTTTGCTTCAAGTTTTTGTTTCATAGAATTGCTCTTCACCAGCTGTTTTCCTGTCTCATTTGTGCGACGGAGGATGTTTCAAACTCATGCCATTTTTCACTACTGATTGCACCTGTCAGAACAAATTAAGCTTGTACACATTCTTTTTTTTTCCACCCATGTCAGGTTCATTTCCTTCTTATGGGACAAAGAGTATACCTGTTCCAGAAGTAGTGTGGTACCCTGCATGTGTGCTTCGGTTTCATCTCTAAGCAAAGCAGTTATCTCTAGGCAGTAACTTTCTGCTTGTTTTGACTGTTAAGCATTTATACCGGTCTCTCTACCTTTTCAATGTGGGATTCTAGTTTTGTGTGAGAAGAGATAATACCGTATCGGAAGTTAACATTTTCTTACATTGAAAATGTATTTCCAATAGGTACTTACCTTATCTACCACACTTCCATCCTACTGCTGGTGTTATTCATTTTAGATCTTGCCAATTCTCAAAAGTGTGGATTGAGTGGGAATATCAGAGGGAGCTAGATGTGTGAACATAGGTGTGGTGCAATACTATTGGTGGAAGGTAGACACATGCCATATACATGTTCAAAAGTGGCATGAAATTTGTGAGGTACATAAACTGGTGTCTTGAGTGTTAAAATGTTTTAGCAATGCTTAAAGGGCAGAAAGAAGATCAAGATAGGTTTGTGTGACATGAATTAGGAACCTATCAGAAAAGGTTTAAGGTTTGTGAGGTTACGTTGTGTCACACTTGTTATCTTTGTGTAGTTGTCATTTGTAAAACCTTAAAGGTTTAAGGTTTGTGAGATTACATTGTGTCACATTTGTTATCTTTGTGTAGTTCTCACTTGTAACTCCTTAAGGGTTTAAGGTTTGTGAGATTACATTGTGTCACATTTGTTATCTTTGTGTAGTTGTCAATTGTAACTCCTTAAAGGTTTAAGGTTTGTGAGATTACATTGTGTCACATTTGTTATCTTTGTGTAGTTGTCACTTGTAACTCCTTAAGGGTTTAAGGTTTGTGAGATTACATTGTGTCACATGTTGCTTGAGTCTTGTGAACTTTATATTAGGTAGCATAACTTAAAAGAGGGTAATTGAAAGATTGAACAAACATTACCAGTGATAACAGACATCAAAAAAAGCTGAAGTTTGAAAGAAATGTGACCTCATTTTGTGACTTATTTATAATATTTGCCTAAAAAATGCAGGGCTTCTTTCGGTAATTTTATATTTATAGACTTATAAGGTTGAATATTTAGACAGAGTAGGAATCTCTTCTAACATCCTATAGATATTTACTATTCAGAAGACTAAAGGAATAATTATAAACAGATATGTTGGCTGACATTATAGTTCTGAGAAGCTTGGATTTCTACTTTGTATTTTTCAGGTTAATGAGATCAGAAGTCTTCAACAGATCTGCAAGAGTACAGAGTTATTCATCAAAAGGTATTTCATTTTAGATTTTGCTCAATATAATTTAAATTAGCAGAGTCAAGGTTGTACTTTACAAATTGCAATGAATCATTATTGAGAGCCACAGTGATTGGCATTCCCTGTACGTGTCAAAAAGTTTCAAAGTCTTTGCTGTGCTGTCTTTATAAGTAATGTTTATAATAATATCTTTCAGAGCTTATGGTACTAAAAGTTCAATGTAAGGTACTTTAAATACTTAAAATTCATATAATTTTACTGTAGTTATAGGATTTTCTAAAAAACAATGTAATTATCAAAAATAAATGTCTAATTAACTGATACTTTGATTCCAAGAATATTAAAATTAGCAATTGTATCTGTTTTACCAAATTAGTAATTTAGATATCCTTGTGTTAGTTTTTACTAAACGACATGAAGTAAGTATTCTGAACTTCCAGCTGCTGTAGTTCTCAACTCTTACTGTTTTTACTTGCATAACAAAAGTAAGTATTTTGAACTTCCACTTAATTCTGAACTTCCAACTGCTGTAGTCTCAACTTTTACTGTTTTTACTTGCATAACAAAAGTAAGTATTTTGAACTTCCACTTAATTCTGAACTTCCAACTGCTGTAGTCTCAACTTTTACTGTTTCTACTGAATTTTGGGAAATGAGTATTTTAAGCTTCCAGCTGTTCTAGTTGACAACTTATATGATGTGTGAGAAGTAATTGCTTTGAACTACTGGTACTGTACTTCAGATAAAGAAGATACCAGTCACTTTTCTTGTAGATATAAAAGAAAATCAAATGAGTTATTACCATACTTTAGATAAACATTGAACTGTTCTTTACGTATCTTCATTTCCATGCATCAGCTGTGATTTTAGTTATTTTTTATTCAATTAATAGTTGAACAGAAAAAAGAAGGAAGTTGTCATCTGACAAAATCTCTAGGGAAAGAAAAAATGTAAGTTGTATTTCTTTTACTCAAAAATTTGAAGGGCTTCAGTTTTACATATCAAGAAGTACAAAAACAAGGGATCTGCTTTTAATTAAGTTCAACACCTCCCTCCACTTTAGTCATGAGTACTTACTAAGTAGAGTGTATACATAATTTAAAGTAAGAATTGAACTACAGTTTCACTAATCATAAATTTTTTATCATCATTTATACATTATTTGTTATACTAGAAACACATAATCTGTATACTTAAACTGTAGTTGTATCTCAAACATTTCCTTAAGAAGTGACATTAGAAACACATAATCTCTATACTTAAACTGTAGTTGTATCTCAAACATTTCCTTAAGAAGTGACATTAGAAACACATAATCTGTATACTTAAACTGTAGTGTATCTCAAACATTTCCTTTTTAAGTATACAGATTATGTGTTTCTAATGTCACTTCTTCTGTAGTTATATCTCAAACATTTCCTTAAGAATTCATATAGTGATTGTTAGGTATCTTGTTCCACCATTCTACTATGTAGAGTTGAAGTACTAACTGTTAATTATCTTGTTACATCATTCTATTGTGCAGCATTTAAGTAGTAACTGTTAGATATCTTGTTATGCCATTCTACTGTGTAGCTTAAGTACCAACTGTTAGGTTTGTTCTTACACCATTCTACTGTGTAGTGTTTATGTAGTAACTGTTAGGTATCTTGTTACACCATTCTACTGTGTAGTGTTTATGTAGTAATTGTTAGGTATTGTGTTACACCATTCTACTGTGTAATCTTTACGTAGTAATTGTTAGGTATATTTGTTTACCATTCTACTGTGTAATCTTTACGTAGTAATTGTTAGGTATATTTGTTTACCATTCTACTGTGTAGTGTTTATGTAGTAATTGTTAGGTATATTTGTTTACCATTCTACTGTGTAGTGTTTATGTAGTAATTGTTAGGTATATTTGTTTACCATTCTACTGTGTAGTGTTTATGTAGTAATTGTTAGGTATATTTGTTTACCATTCTACTGTGTAGTGTTTATGTAGTAATTGTTAGATATTGTGTTACACCTTTCTTCTGTGTAGTTTTTATGTAGTAATTGTTAGGTATATCTGTTTACCATTCTACTGTGTAAACTTTATGTAGTAACTGTTAAGTATCTTTGTTCACCATTTTACTGTGTAGTGTTTATGTAGTAACTGTTAGGTATCTTGTTACATCATTCTACTGTGTAGTGTTTATGTAGTAATTGTTAGGTATCTTGTTACACCATTCTACTGTGTAAACTTTATGTAGTAACTGTTAAGTATCTTTGTTCACCATTTTACTGGGTAGTGTTTATGTAGTAACTGTTAGGTATCTTGTTACACCATTCTACTGTGTGGTGTTTATGTAGTAACTGTTAAGTATCTTTGTTCACCATTTTACTGTGTAGTGTTTATGTAGTAACTGTTAGGTATCTTGTTACACCATTCTACTGTGTAGTGTTTATGTAGTAATTGTTAGGTATCTTGTTACACCATTCTACTGTGTAAACTTTATGTAGTAACTGTTAAGTATCTTTGTTCACCATTTTACTGGGTAGTGTTAATGTAGTAACTGTTAGGTATCTTGTTACACCATTCTACTGTGTAGTGTTTATGTAGTAATTGTTAGGTATCTTGTTACACCATTCTACTGTGTAGTGTTTATGTAGTAACTGTTAGGTATCTTGTTACATCATTCTACTGTATAGTGTTTATGTAGTAATTGTTAGCTGTCTTTGTGCACAGTTCTACCGTGTAAAGTTTATGTAGTAACCGTTAATTATCTTGTTGCACTGTTCTCTCTTGTCAAACTTTTTGTTTTTACTACTTTGTAAATTTAGTCATATTCCATCCATTTACAAATCTACTGTTTTTACAGTAGTTGTAGTTGTCTGCAAGATTGTCAGTAATACATTATAGATAAGTAGCTATATACAACATTATTCAGTTTTTGTACCATAGATATTATACTCTGTATGTTCAATAATGAACAAGCTAAGTTAATTTTCTTACCAACATAACCTCTAATTGTATAAGTGCAATATTTTAAGCAAGTTCTTAAACTAGGTACTTTTTTTTGTTTTTAGAAGACATATCCCAAGGCATATAATGTTAAGGTAAGTGAGCCGTAATGCACAATAGTATGTATAGATATCTACATTTCTGTTGTTATTCAGTATGAACAAGCAGTTTTTACGTACGTACACATATCTTGTTAATGTTTGTGTGTTAATAGAAGAAAGTAATCACACAATCTCATTCGTCTAGATTCATAATCTAAATTACATGTGTGGTATAAATGATGGTCAGCTTCAAGTACCATACTTTGATATTTCAATAAGCTGTAGTTTTTTTTACTGCTTACTACTATTATAGTATAAATTGTTATATTTTATTAATTTTCAGTTTGTTATGAACTGTTAATGTATTATGCTCTAATTTTGATGAAACTAAATTTTTACCTTATTTTTCTGAATTCTAGCTTTAGACTTTTTTTGAGGTGGGAACTTCCTTGAGAAATTTAGTGATGATGCAGCTGTTAAGTTTACTCAGTTTACCATGTAATAGACATTTAATGATCTACTCTCTCAAAATATTAAAAAACAATTCGTTTATTTACTTAAGACAATCAATAAAAAAGTAAATGAAATACAGTTTTTATATTTTGAGAGTGTGGAACATTTCATCTCTGTTACGTCTTGCTTTAAGTTAGATTTGAAGGTTTTTTACAATTGTTTGATGTGCTGAAGTATACCAGCAGTTGGCTGTTCATGCTGTTTATGTATATCCTACTATAGCTCATTTTCTTATAGTATTAAAAACAGGTGTTTAGATATTCTACTGTAGTTGACTTCCTTTGTGTATCAAACAGTGATTATATCATAAAATTTTAAATCAGGATAGTGCTACTGTCTGAAACAAGACATCAAGGAAAGGCAGTGCTTGTTGTTTTCCTTTTCTCTTGTGAAATAAACATTATATTATATCTTTCCAGTCAAAGATCACCAATAATCGACAGCCTGCTTCCACATCCAAAAACCAAAAGCTCATTTTTATTTTCAAGGTTAGACTCATGTTTCTTATAACATGTCTTGTTTACTAAAATGTGTGAATAACAAAAAACAAAAGTATTTTTATACTGATGAATGGAAGAAAAACGATTAGAGTAGATTTTGAAAGTATTTATAATTTTTCTCTGATGCCTCTTCATCATTAATACAATTAACAAGTTTCACATACTGTACAGGATCTTGATGATCATATGTACAGTAATGGAAATACACTGGTGATATACATAGGCATTTTATCATTAGTGCAATATATTATTACAGAAAATACAAAAGAAAATTGAATAAATTGCACATGCACTAGTATTTTGTATTTACATTAACCAGAGCAGTACACCTTGCTTTTATGCTACCATACATTTATTAATGTATGATAGTGAAATATTGTTCTAAGTGTACTTGTATTACTTCCTACAGTTCAAATAAGTTGTTTGGTTGCCATTTGAGCTTTTCAATTTCTATATAAGCCCTTACAGTGTTATTAATATTCATATCAGGACTTTGTGCAGGCTAAGCTATGATGACTAGTATTCGATCAACCACTATTTTTTTTTTCTTGTGTATCTTTTCACTGTATTTGCTGCATGATTTTGACCACTTTTTTTACTGGAAGATGAATATCTGCCCTGAGGAAATAAATAGTTGATAAGAATGTGCTTGTACCTGTCAGCAGTCAAGGTGTCATCAATTTTCTGTATATCTTCAACACAATGCTTCAGTGTAGATGTAGGTTAATTGTGATACTGTACTCTTCTCTGCCATCAAGTAAACTATTGTTTATTGTTAACAAACTATTGGTTATCTAATGTGTATCTTATATTCACACCTTTAATTACAGCGAGGTCATTGGCAAGATCTCTTCTGGATTGCTGTGTATCATATAAAGCTCTGAACTATTTAACATCACTTTTGAAGAGTTTGGGCTTTTTACCTCAACCTCTTCTATTATCAGCAGTACTAGTTTCATGTACCCTCTTCTATGTTTCCATACATATCCTACTGAAATATGAAATTCTGCCTCAGTCTGTAAAGTGGAATATCCTTCACTAGCCAAAACTTTGATATCTTCACACTTGTCATGTGGTATCTGTCCTGGAAGTTATGAGTGCATTCAGCACACTACTGTTGAGAATATTACTGCTACCTATGTTTTTGTAAACATTAAACTGGTATTGTACTCTGTCTGATGGTGAATGACATCCAATCACAATGTTAACTATCCACATGTGACTATACTCTTGTGCAGTTTATGTTCATACAGTAGAGGGGGAACAGTTCCATAATAGATGCACTTTATACGATATTTAGTCACTGTTTCCATAACAATTTCCAACACTGTACATCACAAAAAAAGTAAACAAAAGAAAGTAACCATTTTGCCTGTAGAATGAATAACAATGTGAACCATGTTTTTTTTTCCATAACCAATTCTTACAAACTTACAATATATATAAGTATAAGTTGACGTATAATAATGATCAGCTGCTAGACTGATTCTTTCTTGGATAATTTTAGGTTTATAGTTTTATATAACTTACAAATCATGTGGACAATAATTTTTATGGCTTATTAAACACAACTAACTAAAAATTCAATAATATTTTCATGCTTATATCTTTATATTTCTAGCAGAGCATATTAACCTTGACATCTTTGTACAAATAATGCTTTACCATTTTGTGTTTCTAGAAAGATACTCCCTGATTTTAATTATAAGGTTTTGTAATTATTCTAAACAGCAAGATGAATTGTAACACAAGCTCACATCAAAGACCAGTTGTTTCAGACGTACATCTGATAGATGTTCAGAGGTATGTTAGTAATAAAATATAATACAGAAATAAAACAAGAGTTAATCACTGAGTGGTACATTCTGATTGAGTAAATGCTTATAAAGTTCTAGTTGACTATCAGTATATTAGTAGCTATGAATATTTATTGTTTTGAATCTAGAACAAAAAAGTTTTTTGATTCCATACTAAAATGACATCATTCTAAAACTAAAATTTACTGTTTTTTTACATTCAGCTACAATTTGTTCGACAAACCAACCTTGTATTTCTACAAATGTGGGCCTCTTGAGAGATTTAGTATTTGTTGTTTAATTTGGGATATAGTCTGTACATAGGAATGTAAAGAATTAAGTTATTGGATTGTAACAGATAACTTCTTGAGAAGTATTAATTTGTTACAGTTTGATACTTTGCCTGGTAGTTTCATCAGGCATACAATTTGTACACAGTAATATATAGAATTAGGTCTTATTACTAAACTAACAAAACATATTTTGGGAGTAAGGTTGTCTTTTGTGTGTGTATATCTCTTGAAAAATTGAATTTGCAACTGTAGTTAGCAATACAATAAAAAAAAAAGTTACCTCTGTTGATTTATGATAAATTTTAGCTGAGAAAACATGTATACCTCACCAATTAGCATCATTGTGTTTAAAATGTCAGCAATCAAATTAGAAAGGAGATAGTTTGGACAACTAAGTGCCAAGTGCATATTAACATACAAAAATGATTATATAAACACTGCTGTATCCACCAAAATATCAGTACTTGCACATTTGATGATTTGTATAAATTGTCGATGGATCTCTACAAGCAGCTCTAAACCTCACCCAAAATCTTTCTAGACAGACGCAATTCATTAGTAATATCTCTCATGTGTTTACAACAAAAGTGTATTTTAAATGGCAATTCACAAACTCTGTAATTAATAATTTGCTAAGGTGATTTATCATTTGTGGCCATGTGATTTTACTATTGTATTTTTTTTAAAAACACCTTGTAGTATGTTTTGTCGATTGGTAAATGGCCTGCATAACAATGATTTTAGTAATTTTATTATTCTAGCATAGGAATCCTTGGTGACGATCTAAACCACTACAACGGATTACTAGAGCCCGTTACTAACACATTGCAAGAAGAGCCTGCAGTGATGGCGCCCTCTAGCGAGCTAAAATGAAATTGTAACAACTTAAAAAACAATGCTCTTGTTCGTCCTTTGTAATCTAATAAATAATAAAAATTATTGAGATATGTATTATGCTCTTATTTAAATAAAAATTACAAGACTAATGACCCTTCTCTTTAGGCAGATGTATATGCTACTGTAAAAATATAAAAAAGATGATGATGACAAAACCTTGTCGAAACGTTGTACATTTCCTGTTATGTTAAACTTATATTAAAGTTTTTCTTCATTACCCATTCAAGCGGTCTCCAAAAAAAAGATTTGTTTGTTTGTAGTATAAGCACAAAGGGCTATCTGTGCTCTGCCCACCACGGGTATCAAAAGCAGGTTTCTAGCATTGTAAGTCCGCAGACATACCGCTGTGCCACTGGGGGCGTATAAAAAAGAAATGCGTCCACACTGAGAAAATGTATTTATAATAAACAGTGGGTTTGTGCTCACACAAAACGATTTGCACAAATAATCTCATTAAGAGCCAGTAGCTTTTTCACAGTAACATAGAACTTTGAAAATATCCTTAGACCAAGAAGTGGTATCTTAGAGCCCAACGTTACTATCATGTTCTAACCTAACTTTAGTTTAAAATAAAGCAAACATGAATTCTACCACTAAGATCCATAATAACAAACTGACAACGTTTGAAATAACTTCATGTTCAATTGAAAGGATTATGAAACAATTACTTGACATTATTCCAAACTATTTGAAAGACCCATCGATTTCTTGGGAAAATTGCTGGTTATAGTCCGATATTCCGAAAATCGAACGTAAAAGACATGTAGGCCTAATATTCATTCACTTTGTTATATTACGTAAACAGTAGAATGTAAATAATGTTATATTTTAGGGACATAAGCGATAACATTTTGAGGTATATTTGCAATCATTCTAGAGACCTATATTATTGTTACCCGTAATTAAAGTTCTTTTTCTAATCTTTTGAAAAATTATGTCAAAATTATCGTAATAATAATATTATCATAGAAACAGGATGAAAAAGTTTAATAATGTTATGAAAGCGGAAGTCACGCAACGCTGAGAGCATGCGCGCTGGAGTTTCTTGAAGGATCATAAATTTTCCTGACAACTCTAGTTTGTTCCAGACGCCCTCTTTTTTAGTATGTAAGCCCGGCAAATAAAGCCAGCGAAAAAGATAGAATTGCAGAGATAGACAGATAATTGAGTCAAGGGAGCGGTAGTGACGGTAATATAAAGTGTGTTTTTGTTATCGAGATTGCAAACATATTGACTGTGGAAATTCTGTGTATTACAAAGTTGTATCGAGGAAGAATCAACTAGTTTTAATTATGAAAGGACTTCTGTCGTTGAAGTTCCTCGGAAAGAATTTATACCGGAAATTAACAAACGAACAGATACGTAATAAATTGGTGTCAGAGAGTGGGACGAAAAAAAAAAAAGATATGGAAATGAGAAGTGCGAAATCAAACTACGACTTAGCAGATTTGATGGCAGCAATACAAGAACGAGAAAAGAAACAAGAAGAGAGATTACAGCAGATGTTGGAGGAAAAAGAAAAGAAACAACAAGAAGGAGAAAAGAAACAAAAAGAGAGATAACAGCAGTTGTTGGAGGAAAAAGAAAAGAAACAAGAAGAAGGAGAAAAGAGATTACAGCAGTTGTTGGGTGAAAAAGAAGAAGAAGAAGGGGAAAAGAAACAAGAAGAGAGATTACAGCAGTTGTTGGGGGGAAAAGAAAAGAAACAAGAAGAGAGATTACAGTAGTTGTTGGAGGAAAAAGAAAAGAAACAAGAAGAACGAGAAAATAAACAAGAAGAGAAACTACAGCAGTGGCAAGAAAACCAGCACCAGTGGCAACTGGAACAAGAAAGGAAACAAGAAGTACAAATGAAAAATATTAGTAAATTTCAAGGTGAATTAAATACAT